TATCTACTAGGATGCTTTTAAAATAAAATTTATTGGGTTGGGAATTGAAGTGAGTTGTTTTTAACTCATAATGTGAACTGTCAGTATTTTCTTAAATTTTTCTGAATAACATTTTCAGAAATGCTTACAGTGATAAAAATGTAAAATACTTAATTGGAAAATTGTGTTTTCTGCTGCCGTGACAGACCATCAGAGACCAACAAGTTATTTTAGCTGACAGTTTTGGACGCTTCAGTCCATAGAGGGTGGGGTCCATGACTCTCCGGTCTGTGGCTGCACAGAACATCACAGTAGTAGGGCGCAAAAGGAGAGGAAGGAGGTGGTGTCCTTGCATCCTTGTCAAGAACACACCCACCACATGACCTGACTTCTCTCCGTCAAGCCTCACTTCCTGAAGGTCCCACCACCTTCCACCAGGGCCACAGGATGGGGACTGAGCCTTTAGCACGGGGTCTTTGGGGACACTCAAAGTCCAAACCATAACAAAAGTACTCTACATGTAAAAATGCTTACTAATAAAATTAGAGGCACAATATTTTCTGTAATCTTTCTACAACTAAAGGAGAAGTTGCTCTTCCAGTGTCAGGACCCTGTTCCTGTTCATATTCCTGGAGGTCTCCTCAGGCAGGTGCTGCCAGAGCACAGGCCCTGGAGACCTGGGTGAAGTGGCACTGTCATGCAGCCATTCGCTACTATAGGGGTCCCCAGTGCTCCTGTGGGACATCATGGTATCTCTGTAGGAGGTGCTGTTGGTGCTCTCTCACGTCGCCTCTGCTGGCCTCAAGTATTGCTGTACAATTCCCCGCACATGGAAGGCATCTGACCGCAATCTCTCAGTTCTTTACTTGAGGGATTTCTTTGGTCCATGAATTTGCCTGGCTCTCTGAGTGTGGCAAGTCTCAGAAGCAGGGGTAGAATGTTTCCATGAGTCGCCCTCAGCCAAGACAATTGGCCCATGGAGTATGATTCCCATGAGCCATTCTTCCTGGAGACTCTTTATCTGTACTCTGCATCCCCTTAGAGTGCCCCAGAGGGGTCACACCCAGCCTGCCTCCCAGGATTTCACACACTGCTGGCTGGCACCATCCCTTCCCTGGGACTTGTCTTGAGGTCCACCCAACAGAAGATGCCAGGAACCAGGAAACACCGTGGCCTGCCACTGGGGTTACAGAGTTGGGAAGTTCCCAACTATGCATTAAAGGAAATCTCTGAGCCCCAACAAGAAGGGATTTCTAAATCTGATAGGCCAAGGATACAGATGTAACACACACACACACACACACACACACACACACACAAAGTGGGAGAAGATAGTGTCAACTGAACATTTCAGATCACAGACTAATTTCTGCAGATTAGGAAGAGCTGGGAAAGTAGACCTCAGGGAAGACAAGATCATTGAAGACTTACACTTCCACAAGGCAGAATAAAGCTTTGTGTGTTTATTGCCATTTTCAGATATATCTTCAGTGTGGCTGATACTGTTTCAGGACAACTGTGGGCTGATTTGCTGCTTGGTCCTGGCAAAGACAAAAGCACAGGGCTTGAGGCTGCTCCTCCAGAGACGCTGGAGCAGACAGGAGGGAGCAGGCAGCCCAGTGGAGAGAGCATCCCAGGCCCATGGGTTACCTGATTGCTCCCAAGAGTTATTAGAAGCTGAGTGATGAAGCCAGTGCTTATTGGCAGGAGAACAGATCCATAAATCTGAGGGACAGAACAAGGAATCGAGACAGACCCACAGTAAACCTTGGGTTGATTTTCAACAGTTGCTGAGTCCTTCCAATGGGACTGTCTTAGCAAGTGATGCTCAGTGGATCTTCATATAGACACACAGGAACTTGGACTCAGGGTGTTGGCAGGTGCTTCACAAGGGTGGCATCATGGGCAGGGGACCCTGTCCCCCGGCAGAGTTGGGAACAGCCCGTGGAGGCCTCGGATTTGTTCTGTGGGATCAAGTTTGTTTATAGACTCGCTTCAAGCATGGATGGCAGCAGGGTAGAGATGTGTGTTCTGGTGGGGAGCCACCTGGGTAGGGACTTGGGTGGCACGGGGCGGCGCTGCCTACTCAGTCCTCAGGGCGGGGGTCGAAGGTGGCGACTCCCCTGCCCCGTCCCCTCTTGCCCCACATTTTAGGAAGTTACCCAGCGCCTCCCGTGGGTCCCGCAATTAGTTGATGTCCCTTCCGCAGTTCCCAAACTTGGGGCCACAGCTAGGGTAACCCAGGCCCTAACCGGCGTCTTTGCAGTGATGCTCCAGCAGGTGGCGCCCGCGCACCGCGGAGCGGTGCTGTCCGCTGTGCGGTCCGGATCGGAGCCCCGCGGAGCAGGGACCAGGTCCTCCTTCACCCAGAAAAGCTGGGGCCTGCCTCTCCTCCCGCCCTGGGTCTCCTCGCCTTGGGCCGCTTGGCGGGCGTCCTCGCTTTCGCACTCTGCTCATCTGAGGTCTCTGTCCTGTGTCCCCTGTGAGTCTTCCGAGACAATTCGAGAGTCCACTGACTCTGGACCGCGTCTAAAGCACCACAAGAATTAATTCCGACCCGAACGCTCCAAGACGTACACCTGTGTGTAACATCACGCAGACGGATGAACAGTTTTTATCTGTTACTTGACAGCTCTGCACAGCCCCCTTGTGGACAACACCTAGACAAGCACTCAGCTTGAGAAGCGTTCACAGATCAGGGAGGGAAAGTCATCTCTTCACTGAGGGCACCGATATCCCGGGCAGTGTTCTGTGCAGAAGGATGCGTGGATTTCCGGTCCGTATCCACCGGCAACAGTGAATTCCTGCTCTTTCTGAAAAAGGCGTGCAAGGCCGAGGATTTAGCTCAGTGGTTTCGACGCCTGCTACCCAAGCGCAAGGACCCAAGTTTGATCCCCGGTACCCAAAAAAAAAAAAAAAAAGGGCGTGGAGGTCAGAAAAGACTTCTTTGCAGTGAAACTTGAGCAGAGAAAGACCTGAAGGAGGTAGACAGCCAGCTTTGTGGAATCTGGCAGACCGTGTAAGGGAGGGCAGGGCCCT